ATTTTCTTTGCCATTTGATTATAACTTATAGCGTAATTAAATTTTGTATTGAATGATTGTCATAAATATTTATTTATTTATTTATTTTGTTGAATGATATATGATTAAGTCCTTTCATTTTCTTTGCCATTTGATTATAACTTATAGTGTAATTAAATTTTGTATTGAATGATTGTCATAAACATTTTTTTTTTTTTTTTTTTAATTAAATCCTTAAATATTTTTCCACCAATAAGGAGAGAGTGGAACCTTACTTTTATATATATGATTCCTATTTCATGCAATACGGATTCATAAGAAGGATCCATAAGGAATTGACTAAACCGGATCTGGTCTTCAAATTGTGACGCACGCGTGTCCCCCGGTCAGAGAGCTGCCGTCACAATCACGCGGAGATGAGCGACAAATCAAAAGCTTAACCGTAAAACGACGTCGGTTACTTAAGTCCTTCTATATTCCCCCAAACCGAACCAACCCCTTTCCTTCATTTCGTTTCCTTCCTCTCTAAATAAATCTCAAGAGATTTTTGCAATTTCAATTTCAGTTTTCAGATCTCAAACCTTTTTCTCGTTTTCGATTCGATTCGATTCTTCTCTCGTCTGCTTTCCTCAAAGGTACGTTTCCATCTTCTTCCTTGTCATGGTTTCCGAAGTATCGTTTCTTGATTTAGGGTTAGGTATTTCATTTCTGATCGGATTCTTGTATCTTCCGAAGCTGTTTCAGTGTGTTAATCTATTTTTTTTTTGTTCTCCATGGGAATTTCTCATGTTTTCTCCAGGTTTTTTCATCACTTTATGCTTCACAAGCGAGCTAGTGAAGCTAACGAGAAGAGCGATAATAGCAGCATCGGTTCCGATTTAGCATTCAAGAAACGCCGTATCGATATTACTGACTCTTCGTCTGCGTCCGCGTCTGATAAGTCTTCCGTTGTAGCTTCTGGTAGTAGTAGCGGATTTCACGGAGATAGCGTCGTTCAGCAACTCGACATGGCTTTTGGTAACTCGAATCGTCAGGAGATCGATGAGGATCTTCACAGTCGGCAGCTCGCTGTCTATGGTCGTGAGACTATGAGGCGTCTCTTTGCTTCGAATGTTCTTATCTCGGGGATGCACGGCCTTGGTGCCGAGATTGGTATGTCTCTTTTGTCCCTTTGCGTTGATCTTAGAATCTGTGAAGAATTGTGTCATCACCGGAACCTAGTCAATTTTATTCTTTAGTTGTTAAAGTTTTTGTTCTCATGATATGTGATTATTGCTATCCTTCATCATCTAAATCGTAGTAGCTTCCTGATGTTCGGTCATAATCCCCCTGTATTCAAGTTTGCATGGTAAATTGGAACTGTTGCTTGTGTTCCTGACATTTTTGTATAATGTTTCTAAGGTTTCATTTCCTGTCTCATTAAATTTGTTTTACTCGTTTTTTTTTCAGCCAAGAACCTTATTCTTGCGGGTGTAAAGTCTGTGACCCTGCATGATGAAAGTGTCGTAGAGCTATGGGACTTATCTAGCAACTTTGTTTTCTCGGAGGATGATGTTGGCAAGAATAGAGCAGATGCTTCTGTTCAGAAGTTACAGGATCTTAACAATGCTGTGGTTGTCTCTAGCTTGACTAAAAGTTTATCCAAAGAGGATCTTTCTGGTTTCCAGGTTGGTAGACAACGCATTTGTTTTGTCATTGGTTCTATCTGGTCTGAGTCTTTTTTGCATACTGTAGCATTTTGTGGAGAGTTTATAACTCTGTGTCTGTCACTGATTGGATCACAAAAGAGTGGGTTATCATTGCATATAAAAAATGATTATTGTCTCCGTAGGTGTTAGGCTGCTTCTAAAAAATGATTATTGTACACTTTTCTCATGGTTGTTTCTTGTTGTCTGGTTGCATGCTGATACATTTATTTTTGTCCAAAATAGGTTGTTGTTTTCTCCGACGTAAGCATGGAAAGAGCAATCGAGTTTAATGACTTTTGTCACAGCCATCAGCCTCCTATCGCTTTTATCAAGGCTGATGTCAGGGGTCTTTTCGGCTCTGTCTTTTGTGATTTTGGCCCTGAATTTGCGGTTCTCGATGTTGATGGAGAGGAACCCCATACAGGCATCATTGCGTCTATCTCTAATGAGAACCCGGCTTTTATTTCCTGTGTTGACGATGAAAGGCTTGAATTTCAAGATGGTGACCTAGTTGTTTTCTCAGAAGTTGAGGGTATGACGGAATTGAATGATGGGAAACCAAGGAAGATAAAAAGTGCACGGCCATATTCATTCACCCTGGATGAGGACACTACAAACTATGGAACATATGTGAAGGGTGGTATTGTCACTCAAGCGAAACAGCCAAAGTTGCTGAATTTCAAGCCATTGAGGGAAGCACTTAAAGATCCTGGGGATTTTCTATTTAGTGATTTTTCTAAGTTTGACAGGCCTCCACTCCTTCACTTAGCATTCCAGGCACTTGATCATTTTAAATCTGAAGCTGGCAGATTTCCTGTTGCGGGCTCAGAAGAGGACGCTCAGAAGCTTATATCGATTGCCACAGCCATCAATACCGGGCAGGGTGATTTAAAGGTGGAGAATGTTGACCATAAGCTTCTACGACACTTTTCCTTTGGAGCCAAAGCTGTCCTGAATCCCATGGCTGCAATGTTTGGTGGTATTGTTGGACAGGAGGTTGTAAAGGCTTGCTCTGGAAAATTTCATCCTCTCTTCCAGGTAATATTTCTTTTCCATAGACTTGTAGGAATACATATTTAGTCTTTGCATGCCATATTCCCTGTTAAAATTAAGAATTTTAAAACAAGAAATAAAACCCAAGGCTCTTATTATTAAATACCAAATCAAAGTAATAAGAATAGAAGTTGAAAAACATCTAAGCGCAACAAGAACAAAGCTCTCTTCATATATTTAGAAGCTAAATGAATGCTGTTTAGAAAAAGTAGATAATGAAATTGAATCCTCAATTGTTTCCTAAAGTAAAGAAACAGATATCCTAATGGAAAAAGAAACATTAATTGATATGTACCGTTCCCTTTTTCTAATGTTTATTTTGCTAGAAGATACACCTGCTTACTCTTTTTTGGCACATGCATATCTATTTTAGTTTTGTATTAGGCTCTAATGTTGAGCTTCTTAATATTTTTACAGTTTTTCTACTTCGATTCAGTGGAGTCACTCCCCACTGAACCTCTGGATTCAAGTGACGTTGCACCAAGGAACAGTCGGTACGATGCCCAAATATCTGTATTTGGGGCAAAGTTCCAGAAGAAACTCGAAGATGCTAAAGTTTTCACCGTAGGATCTGGTGCACTTGGGTGTGAGTTCTTGAAAAATATGGCTCTGATGGGGGTTTCTTGTGGAAGCCAAGGGAAGCTGACAGTGACCGATGATGATATAATCGAGAAGAGTAACCTCAGTCGTCAATTTTTATTCCGTGACTGGAACATTGGACAGGCGAAATCCACAGTTGCTGCTTCTGCTGCTGCAGCTATTAATCCTTGCTTCAACATTGAAGCCCTACAAAACCGTGTCGGTGCTGAGACTGAGAACGTATTTGACGATGCATTTTGGGAGAACTTAACTGTTGTCGTGAATGCATTGGATAACGTCAATGCTAGGCTTTATGTTGATTCAAGGTGCTTGTATTTCCAGAAGCCTCTCCTAGAGTCTGGAACTCTTGGTGCAAAGTGCAACACACAGATGGTTATTCCACATCTAACTGAAAATTATGGTGCCTCAAGGGACCCGCCAGAGAAACAGGCCCCCATGTGCACAGTGCATTCGTTTCCGCATAACATTGATCATTGTTTAACTTGGGCTCGCTCTGAGTTTGAGGGTCTGCTTGAGAAGACTCCTGCTGAAGTGAATGCTTTTCTCTCTAGCCCAGTTGAGTACACTAACTCAATGATGAGTGCTGGAGATGCTCAGGCCAGGGACACACTTGAGAGGATTGTTGAGTGCCTTGAGAAGGAGAAATGTGAAACCTTCCAAGATTGCTTAACCTGGGCTCGACTGAGGTACTGTCGCTCTCTCTTTATGGTTAGGTTTATGGTCATATAATTATTATTAAAGAGTAAAAGAGAGTATGGTTTCTTACTCATGTGCTGCTACGGTTCCTTCTCATGCTTTTGACATCTGCATCATCCCAGGATTCATAATAATTAATTGAGAAAATCATTAGTAACTTAAAAATTATAATTTAGTAACACTGTTAGGAGGCAACTTCATTTCTCAACAGGTATTGGATTTTCCATAACATGTGTTCCATATTTTATGTGAACTAGGTTTGAGGATTACTTTGTGAACCGTGTCAAGCAATTGATATACACATTCCCTGAAGATGCTGCGACTAGTACCGGAGCTCCATTCTGGTCCGCTCCAAAAAGATTCCCTCGTCCACTCCAGTACTCGTCTTCTGACCCAAGTCTCCTTAACTTTATCACTGCGACTGCTATTTTACGAGCAGAGACATTTGGGATCCCGATACCTGAGTGGACCAAGAACCCCAAGGAAGCAGCAGAAGCTGTTGACAGAGTGATAGTCCCAGACTTTGAGCCAAGAAAAGATGCAAAGATTGTGACTGACGAGAAAGCTACCACTTTAAACACTGCTTCAGTGGACGACGCTGCAGTCATCAACGACCTTATTGCTAAGATCGAGCAGTGTAGGCATAAATTGTCTCCAGACTTCAGGATGAAACCAATTCAGTTCGAAAAGGTAACTACTATGTTCTAAAATGATCATCTCTCTGATATTGACTTGTCTTGTTTGGAAATGTTAAACTTAGGGTTGTCGTTTTGTATCGTAATGTGTTTGTAGGATGATGACACAAACTATCACATGGATGTGATAGCGGGACTAGCCAACATGAGAGCAAGGAACTACAGTATCCCCGAAGTCGACAAGCTGAAAGCAAAGTTCATCGCAGGGAGAATCATCCCAGCCATTGCGACTTCAACAGCGATGGCTACTGGAATGGTCTGCCTCGAGCTGTACAAGGTCCTTGATGGAGGACACAAAGTGGAAGACTACAGGAACACATTTGCCAACTTGGCGCTTCCACTCTTCTCCATGGCTGAGCCGGTTCCTCCAAAGGTGGTGAAGCACCGTGACATGGCTTGGACCGTGTGGGACAGATGGGTGCTCAAGGGAAACCCAACTCTGCGTGAGGTATTACAGTGGCTGGAGGACAAAGGGCTTAGTGCGTACAGCATCTCATGCGGAAGCTGTCTTCTGTTCAACAGTATATTCTCAAAGCACAAGGAGAGGATGGACAGGAAGGTTGTGGATCTTGCTCGGGATATCGCCAAAGTCGAGTTGCCCCCATACCGCCGCCATCTTGATATAGTGGTTGCTTGTGAGGATGAAGATGACAATGATGTCGATATTCCTCTCGTCTCTATCTACTACAGGTGAGAATTTTCAATCAGAAAAATGAAGAACAAGACAGGAAGGAGATGAAACTCTTGAGATCATAATTGTGTGTTTTGTCTCTGCATCTGCCCTACGTATTTTCTTTGGATGCTTTTGGGTGCGATGACTATATTTTACTTGCGGGGGATAGAATCCCATTTTATCATCTCTCGTTCTATTTCTACTCTTTTTATGTGTACAATTCGTGGTGTGGTGTATCCCACGCATCACCCATCTGAACATGTTTCATCCATCGAATCTCGAATTTTCGTTTTTCCAAGTCATGTTGCAGGTGGTGTTTTCACGATTAGAATCCTTCAAATTGAAAAAGTAAAACAAAAGGCATATGGTACTAACAAAATTGTTTGCATTGACTATCTTATAAACTGTTACTAACTCAGCTAACACATTGCATGTCCCTTCTACTGTTTTCACTTTCATTTTTCACAGTTCGATTGCAAAATTCATCGCCATCAATTTTGTAATGGTTCAATTTATTTGGCATAAAAAAAATTCAGCTTGTTTTTTCTTTTATGTCGTCCGTCCTTGGTCAATACAATTACAATACGCTACAAACCATCTCCACAGACCACAGTAACACAAAAGAATAAAGTATAAACAACGCTTATCAATTCCAGTGACATTATTTTGTTTTTTTTTTTCGAAAGAATAGATTCGAATTGGATGGAGTAAATAAAATATACTCACGCATCAAGGAGAGGATTTTAACTGAAAGCGCAACCACATATGTAAAGAGTTAAGAGGATTCGAGACTCAAATTTTGACTCGATCACCAAGATTTATCAGCGCCTTCGTCGAATTTGCCAGAGCCAACAACCCGGAAATCCAGCTGCTTTTGATGCTTGGTACGTCGTCTCTCATCGAAATCCTCCCATCCCTCGAACTGACACAGTCCCAAATACTGTTGTTTAGTTCAAAAACAAAGAGAGAAGCTAAAGACTCACATACAAGACTGCAGAAACGGATTTAACAAGCAAACCTGGCGGAGAAATTCAACGGTTATCTCTGTGTTGTGGAGTCCTAAAGTTGTGAGCTGCAAACACATCTTGAATAAACCCAATGGTAGTGTCTTCAGTCCGGTGTTGTTCAGCTCCAAAGTCTAGACAACAAAACACTCTGTCTCTGTAAAGCCATTTTTATGAGATGGTGGGACAAGCGTAGCGAAAGGTAGATTTGATTTACCTTTAGATTACGCAGTTTGGTGAATGTCTCGGGAAGTTCTGATATAATATTAGCTGAAAGCTCAACCTCCATGAGGAATGAACAGTTGCCAGTACTCTCAGGAAGGCTGGATATTCTGCAGAACACAGGCAGATAGAAAAGACAATAAGAAGAGCACATAATGGTGTATCAAAATGCAAAGACTATCTTTTGTGTTTTGGATCACTTAAAGATATGAGTCAAGCTTATTTGCCTGTTATTGTTGGCTTTCAAGATCTCGAGCTGCGTAAGAAGTCCCAACTCATTCGGTAGACTAGTCAACTTGTTGTTGGCAACATCAAGTTGTTTAAGCGACGTCAGCGAACCCACTGCTGATGGCAGAACAGTTAGACTGCAAACCAAAAGAAATATTCCCGATTAAAAGCTCAGTCGATGTTCACAACTATAAATGTTGTGTTTTAGAATCTTAGTGATTACGATCTATACATAACTTCAGCTTTGAACTAATTTTGAGTTTAGTTTGGCAAATACACAATTTTGCAAAATGGTAGTACTGAAGGCATCTCTAACATCTACACAAGTCCAGAGACTGAGAGTAAAAAACTCACTTGTTATGGCTAATGGACAGATGCATCAGGCGCTTCAGAGATGATATGCCTTCCCATTGAATGGATTCATCGGACAGACCATTTCCTTGAAGGAAAAATTTCTACAAATAGCACTCATATTATAATCATAAATTCTTCACCAAACAGAAAGATCTGAAATATACATGAAACTATGCATTTCTCACCTGCATAGAACCAAAGGAGCTGATTCTGGCAGGTACTTCTTTAATGAAGTTTTCACTAATGTCAAGTACTCTGACTCCAGATCCACAGTCCCACACTTCATTGGGTATTTCCTTTTCCGCAACAAAGAAAACTTAGCTAATAAGCAACTAAGCAACTAAAAATCTTAAGCATTTACTAGAAGATAGTAAGAATGGCTTGTCCTTATATGTTCCAATGCCAAATGAAAAATAAATCCAAAAACTCAAATGATGAACCTGTAATGAACTTCTCTATATACCTTCAAATTGGCTTGAGCTAAAGCAATGACTCCTGTGGCTTTCCATCGATCAGTTCGGTTCTTGTCTATAGGGAGTCTAGGTTTCGTCTCATCTACTTTATCAGATACAGCAGTCCTAGAGATTGGCCTTGTACTAGCTTCCTTAAGTACCGGACCTTCCTGTTCATTTCAAATACAACCACAACATTAACCCACCTAAACCTCAATTAGATTGATCCTACTAAAGAGCAAGATTCCAAATTTCTAGATTCCAAGAACACTAACCCCTTGATGCAGACCTTGGGAAGCCATTAACATGATTTTAGCTCCACTTCCTACATCAGATTGCTTCAAAGTCGACGTTTCAACCAAAACCTTACCTTCAAAACAAAATCAAAATTTTGAAAAAGATCCAATACAATCAATATAAGTTTAGAAAAGGAGAAAAGTATTCAAATTTAATCAGCAAAACCTTTGAAGATGAGCTTCTGACCACGAGGAAGAACGTTGGTGATTGGTTGTAAAAGAGACTTAAGGTCTTTGACAGTACAATCTGGTGATACCGAAAGTGGTATTGATTTGCCTCCGAGTTTTACTGTAAGCTTAATCATGGCACCTGCTTCCATTGTTGGATCTTCGAGCTCCATTACAATTTCTGCGATTCTTATTTCTTCCTGCTTTGCTTTGACCTTCAGATTCAGAAATACGAAGAAACAGACATTCTCGGAAGTCATTAAAGTTTTCTGGCCCATTAAATATAGTGGGCCGTAGGAATATCTGAAGTCTTCTAGATTTTTATTTTACTATTACACAACTTGTAAAACAAAGTTATTTTCATATTTAAACTATTTTTTTTTGTCAACTAGTCATTACATTTCTAAAAATGAAATATATATATATATATTTTTATCATATTTAGGAAAAAAAACTGAAATATGAAATGTGGAAATGGTAATGATTAATGATTAATGTAATATGATTATATATATATATATATATAAATTTATTTATTTTAGGCAAAAATAAATTTCATTAAAACGGAAGATTTTTTACAAAGACATATACAGAATTATCGTAACACAAATAACACAAATATAATTTAAAATATCAAATTATGATGAATTTGTTTGTTATATTAAAATTAGGGTATGAATGAATGAGTTTGGTGTTGAGCCACAAATATCATGTTTACATTGTCAAAACTAATGGGAATGACATAAATTTTAAAAGATGCACTTGATAACGTAAAATTTTGTAACTTAAGGGATTTGAGGAGTACATGTAGTAAATTTTGTGAGAAAACTCATTTGGTAGAACATGTAATATAGAAAAGATTGGAGAGTGAAGAATCGAGAAAAAAGGTGATTACATAGTTATGTCTTCTAAAGTTCTAATGCAAGATACTAGCTAGATGAGGACTTGATGGTTAATTGTGGTAATATGTCATTGTTCTAAAGTAGGACTTGATACTACTTCTAGATTTTGAGTATTATTGTACGTTAAAGGAGTTTCACTTTGGGTGCACAGTACACACAGAGAGCTCGTACAACATTCTTTCAGATTACATGGCTCTTCTTCGCTGTATACCTCAATCTTTAACTTATCTCCCCAAGGTTCGTACGTGTATATAGACCATACATACTCTTCTTTTCGTATCTTTTTTTTGTCTTCTATATATACATCAGAAAGGGAAACAACTACAACATACATAAAACACATTTTTGCTTCGTTTGAAGATGATACAGATCATCCGTATGCATGGAACCAAGGCAGCAGCTTCTGTCGGAGAAGAACGTGTTTCGGGGGCAGAACGGTATTACAAGTTACTACACTCCAAATTACAGCATTTGTCCTTTTTTTTTGTATTTATTGTCACACAACTCACATCGGTCAGCACTCAGCAGCCTGACTGCGGGGGAGGTGGCTATAGCGTCCTCTTAACTTTTATTTTTTAATAAATAAAATCCATTAAAATTAGGGTCCAATTTTTTTGTTTTTTCCCAAGATACATAATTAGGGTCCATTTCAAGGGACCTCAAAATTTCAAAAATAAAAGTGAAACAAAATGGAGAAAAAGTTATTGAAAACAAAAAAATGCTAAAAGTCTAATGTGTAAAAGTCTCTTATATATTGACTTAATGGAGTAAAAAAGAAAGTTGTTAGAAGAAATGTGTGTTCTCTTAATAGTTTATTTCAGTTAAAAAAATATCCACCATCTAATGTTATTTTATTGGATAGATTAATGTATATACAAGGAAGATTGAATAATTAAGCAATCAACTCTACTAATTTTATTATTAGCTATCTCTTCAAATTTAATTAATGAAAAAATATGTTTTATGGGCAAATTAGTTAACAAGATAAAAAGTTTAGATTTATCAACAAGACAAAGTAGAAAAGTTTTAGTAATACCGATCATGTTTCCGATGAAAAATATTCAGTTGCAATTTTATATAGTTAACTATTTTATTAGCATGATATATATATTATCTTATGTTGATATAGTTTAAATAACATGTTTCGTAAAATTGTAGCAATGGTGGTACACACATTGTTTATCCGATGTGAAGAACAACTGTCATCACCAAAGGTAACAAAGAGACGGTAACTTTTGTAGTTATTTATTTTATTATCTATGCCAATCATATCATATCGCTATACAATTATAAATTATCTAATAAATGAATAATTATCTAGTTAAAATCATTTATTATATGATCATCTAACTTATATATTAATTTGTTAATTTATTATGGTAATTTATTTCGTATCGTTAACTTATAGGGCTTATTAAATTTGTGCGCCCAGAAGAAACAGAAACAAAATTTCCGGACATGATAAACTCATAATTAAACCTCTCTCCTATTGTGATGCTAAGTTACCTCGCTAACCCTGGCCAGATTTGGTTATATCTTTTTAATAGGTTTTATGGTAACCTACAGAGTAGGTATTAAACAACACGCTTCCCTGCTGCAACTCTGACGCACCGACCTGGGGGGAACCGAGATTTTGGAGAGCTGAAGCAATGATTATTGAAGATACGGTACT